CAACTGTGCCCAAACAGAGACATGTAGGCTTTTGCAGTGGCACTATACATATCAATCACCTACACTTTGAACACACTGGGCAGAACTAGTTATCTAGCTGACAGACCACAGGGGACATGTGTGAAGTACTCTTGTGATGGGAACTGACAAAGAACACTGATTATAACATTATTTCCTAAAATACTAAAATAACTGGATTAGAAGACCAAGGACTTTCTCTCTTGAAGACTTCTATTTACATCTCCTCAAATTAAGAGATATACTAAATTTGAATGATGACCCACATGGTCATAATTATGTACCGTATGTATGTATGGTGCTCACAGTTTAAAACATGTCTATGGACTGAGTTTCTCAATTTTATGTTATTCGATTACCTTCAGAAGCAATTAGCTAATATTGTATAGACCAATCCATATGCCACCAAATATAACACAAATGAAAAAGTCTCCATATGCTTTTCTCATTTGTAATTTTCATATTCTAGCCCTTCAAATACATACTTTCTGACAGACAGATATTCTGATTCATTATGGAAGTGTATTCTACTGTGTTGTAACTTTTGATTACTATTTTAAATCTAGCTTACGCATATAGCTCTTGAAGAGTCAAGTGGTACTACCAGTTTGTTATGAAAACGTTCTCACAACCCCACCTTCTACTTTCTGCTCCCGAGAAGCAGTAACTTTCAATGCTTTTGCTTTCCCCCTCACTTTTACCTCTAGCTTAAGTTGCTTAACTCTTCATTTTCCTAGAGTATTTATTCTCCACTGATTTCCCGCTATGTAAGAATGAGAAGTAGCTCTACTGGCCACTGCCAGCTTGCTCCTCTCTTTCTCTAAGTAAATAGATTGTGCACACGCCCTATTTTCTCAATAGTTACAGCGTAATTTGGACTATTAACAGCTAAATGGCTTACTTTATAATATATACATATACATATACATATACATCCTGGCAGTTGGAAACAGCGAGAGTAAGAAAAAAGGGGACTGGAAACAAGATAGAGCTTTCAAAGTTGTGTCCCTGGTGATTTATTTCCTACAACAAGACACCACTTCCTAATAGTCCATTCAGCTATAAACACATATAGACTGATCTACTGATGAAGTTGGTACCCTCCCAATCTAATAACATTCCCTCAAGCCTTCAAGGTCTGCACCATTAGGGGATATTTAAAAATTAAACCACAACAGTAGTTTAGCTGCATCTTGAATTTGGGTAGGAAGTGAATTCATCCCGAGCACTGAAGGCAATGGTCTACTATCTGGCTTTGGTATTGCTACAGATAAGCCTGTAGCTTTCTGATCCCTGACCTGTGGTCAGAAACCTTTCCTCTTACGCAACATTGTAAGTCCCCAAGATTTCTTTTGTTCTCTCATGAAGTTTTCAGTGCTGGGTATGAGTGTATACTTTTTTTCCTTGTGTATGTAGGACATTCAATCTCAAGATTCAGGTTTAAACTAGTAGAAACACACCTTGAACTGTGTGTATGTGAAGTTCATAGTACAGTGCAGGGTGTCACTTCTCAGGTGCTATGTGCTTTTGCTCCCCCCCCCCAGATGAGGTCTCTGATTGGCTTATGTGACCCTCACTGTCATCCTGGGTTGGTTTTTGTTGTTGTTTGTTTACTTTGTTTTTTAAAAGCATGTATTCTGGGATGGAATTCATGTCCTCATGCTTTCAAGACAAGCATTTTACCTAGTGAGGCACCTTCCCAGCCCTTTGGATTTTATTTAGAGTTACCCCCTCTCTCCTTTGTTGTCCCCATTTTTTCTGGATTCACATTTCTCAGACTTTCAACCTTCTGGAGTAGCTATGTTATACTTTTTCTTATTCTTTACTTTAATCTTGTTTTAGATTTTGTTTTCTGCGAGATATTTCTTCAACTTTATTTTCTAATTCTTCCATTAAGTTTTAGTTTTGATATTATATTTTCATATTTTATTTCTAGTAACTGCCCTCACATTTTATTCTGTGAAAGAATTAGTCATCACTCCATAGTTATAGCTTCTGTATAGCAGCTGTCACTTGAAAATATTGTCTAGAAGTCTGTGTACTGATCACACAGAACACAGCACCCTACACCTCTTCTCTTTCAAATACATATAGACTTATAATTTACTATCTCTTAAATAGCATGCAATTTACATAGCACTTACAACGATTGAGACATGATTTAACTTCTATGGGAAAAGGTGCATGCCCCAACATGATATGATTTTATCTATTGGTTTGGACATTCACAGACTTCAATACCAGGAGGGGGTCCTAGATTTAATTCTCTATGGATACTGAAGGATGAATGTGTGTGTGTGTGTGTGTGTGTGTGTGTGTGTATAAAGTTTCTGAAGTTGTCTTGCCATGAATACTTTATTTCTTTTAGTTATCTTTTTCTATTTTTGTCTTTGATCAGCACATTGCATGATTCTTGGCTGTCTTGATCATAGAAAACTGTGAACTGAGGAGCTACGAGGAAGCACTGTTTGGATAGTACCTATTGATAGCTGGGTCCACTGCCACATGACCTGACTGCTTCTTTGAAGAACTCCTAAGGACAGAATGTTTGTGGTGTATGTGTGTGCACGCACACACTCACACACTCCATGCTGATACTTCGGGGAGCAAGGAGAGGAGGATGGAGTGAGTTCTTCTATTTAGTGTTTAAATACAATTATCACCTACTGTCCACAGCATAGCCCCATATGGAATGTGTCTGATGCCTCTCAGTCTAGCGATTTTACTTTACACTTTTCTGTTCCAGTCTTCTGCTAGACAGGAAAAGAAATCTATTCATGTGTATGTAAACTCGCCATGGTGACATCTTCTGTCCTGCCCTCCCTCTTCCTTCCAGGGGTTCCTCCTGATGATTGTGGCTTCAGGCTCCTTACACGGTTTAGTTACCCACTGCCACCTGCTTCCCAGTACACAAGGATGACTGCTGCTGTCTTCGGTCCTGCTTTCTTACTTTGAAGGTTTGTTTTTAATTGCAGAGGAATTTTAGGATGAGCAGAGGTCAGCAGTCTCGTTAGATGTACTGTTTTAATAGTAAGTTCCATCCTATGACACCACAGACCACAGTTTTGAACCTGGAAGGGGCTCTGAGGGAGCACAGAGGGAGCTCTTCCCCTCAGAAAACAAAGCACAGCTATGTGCCGCACAATGGTATTTTGGTCAGCAATGGACCAAAATTTAACTATAGAATTGTGAGATTTTGTCACTAGGAAACCTCACAGCCATCCTCGTCCAAATTCAGTGCCTTGTAGAGAACACAAGTGTCCACTTTGCACTTCTTAGAATGTAGCCCTAAACTGAATGATGCGTATCCCTTGGTTTGCAGATGATGTAGTTGGAACATTAGAAAGTGAAGTGACTTGTCAAGGATATGTAAAGCTCCATTTTATGTATCTTGACCAATCATCCCTCTACGGTTTGAGTAGTGTTATTTTCCAGCTGTAGCTAGATTCTGATATTGTAACCTCTTTTGGGGGCAAGTGAGTTCTTCATATTAGGTTAGGTATTGAACTAGCTATAAGATGTGGTTAAAGTTCTTATAAAGCTGCTTGTAAAGATCCAATACCAACCAAATGGTCAGCCCTGAAAACATACACGCAAGTAACAAGTAACATCATACAGACTAGGAGGTTGTATTTATGTATTTAGGAATATATGCATGTAAGTAAGTATGCACCTACGTAGCAACCATTAATGAAAAAATAGGCCATAAATTTGAAAGCAAACAAGGAGGGGTATGTGGGAAGGTTGGGAGGGAATAAAGGGAAAGAAGAAATGATGTAATTAATTATATTATAAGCACAAAAATTAGAGATAATAAAAAATTTAGATTAAGACTAGATTATTAAAGTGGTTCATACAGTTTGAATATATATCCATCCCAGTATTATATACAAAGGATTTACACAGACACTATGAAAATACTTTAATATGGCTAGAGAGACAGCTCAGTGGTTAAGAGCACTGGCTGCTGCTCTCACAGAGGACTCAGGTTTGGTTCCCAGTGCCTATCTAGTGGCTTAAGAGTAGCTGTAAGTCTAGTTCCAAGGAATCTAGCAGACTTCTCCGGGAAGCAGGCACATCTACAGTGATCATACATGCAATGCAAACAAAAACTCAAACACATAAAATAAAAATAAATCCACATTTAAAACCAAACAAACAACAAAAACCCCACCATAATACAAAAGTGGTTCATACAGTTTTTAAAAACAAAAAGCCAAATTATTTTACTTTTCAGGTTACTACTTTAAAATAGAAAGATTATTTTGTTTTGTTTTTTTGAGTGTCATAATCTTCTACCAACAAAATGTTGTTTATTAAAATTTAGAAAGACAGTTGAGGGTTGGAGAGATGGCTCAGAGGTTAAGAGCACTGACTGCTCTTCCAGAGGTCCTGAGTTCAATTCCCAGCAACCACATGGTAACTCACAACATCTATAATGAGATCTGGCGCCCTCTTCTGGCCTGCAGTCATACATGCTGTATACATAATAAATAAATAAATCTTTAAAAAAAAAAAGAAAGAAAGACAGTTGAACAGGGACCCATAAAGAGAACTGATGGAGACAGGTGAGGGTAGATGGCACCTTTCCATCCACTCACAGCTCTTCTCTGTCTTTTGGAGGTGCTATTCAGCAGTAAGCCTTTTGTGCTTCTAACCCTACCTCAGGGCCTGCCTCCTGAACACCAGAGCTGGGGTATGTCTTGAAATATGACACACTGATAAAAAGACAGAAGAAGGACTTAGAAAATATTCCACTTATTTTGAACTGATGTGTTTGTTTTCCTAGCTAACAGAGATCGCAGACTTAAAATATTACTAAATTATAATGATAACACTAACATACTTTTGGAAAAAAATAGTTTGCTCTATACATAAAAGTTTAATGAGCTTTACAAAACTGGGCACAAGAGGGACTTTCCTATGTGCACCACTATAGGATAGAATGAAAGATGAAAAGCAAACTGTCCTAAAGTACTTACAGATTCTTTTCTGCCCATCGTTTTGCTGTGTGAGCGGGAACGTGCAATGTTGCTGAAAAAGGAATCCTTTTTAGTAGCAGATGAAGGTGGGGAGCCAGTGGATTCTCTTCCCCCAGGCAAACTCTCGATGCTTGGGGATGAACTGATGGTTTTAGAACTTTGCCCTGTAAGAAGAATCAAGTAGCAATAATTAAACACTAGACTGCCACTAAGCCACCAAATAAATACATCAGCTTTAATAAGTGGTGATCAGCTATGAAGGCACCGTTTCACAATGCTCACATAAAGATGCTATTTTTAAAACAATGAAGTACCAGTATAGTTTTCTATATGTTATGTATATGACATAGTCCATGCATGTTTTAAAAAACATAAAAAAAAAATCTAATTCCCTGAGCTGAAGTGTTAAGAGGCAGACTCTTCTGTTAGCAGTGGGAGGTTACTGTGCTGTGTATGAGGATGATTCAAACTAACCTCTCCGCAGAAGTTTCAGAGAGCTTCTTTCTTTGCCTTAATTGTGGGAAGGTACAGGACAGCCCCAAGCCCACTGTGGACTCTGGAAATGGGCTAAGGTGCTATCTCACAGTGCCTTTCCCTTGGCCTGTGCCCTGACTACAATGGTGGCATCCGCATCTAGGACGCCCATTATAAGGCACATAATTAAGAGATGCTCCCTCCATATGGCAGGCAATCTTCTCTCTTGGGTCACTGGGTACAAAAGCTACTGAGTTACAGCAGGGCGAGCAGTTATCTACCTGAGTCCTCCATCCCTGACCTCACAACAGCTGTTTCCCTCTGCAGCCTCCTTTCTATCAGGAACTAGGAACACACAGTGGGCTTAGAACCTGGAGACGAGGGAATGGTAAGCCAAGAGGAGTAACGACGCTCCCCCTTCCCAGGTTATTTGGGATCTGCTCAGTTTTCCTAAAGTGGTTCCCATCTAGCGGAGCCTGGCAGCAGGAACTCCTCATTTCCACCCAGAAGTCCTTTCACAGGAGACCCTGAACTTCTGAGAGGTCTGCATTATTCTTTACACCACCCCTTCTGCCCAATCCTTTTTCCTTTTGCAGGACTGTTTTCCCAATAAACTTTTTAAATTTCTAATTCCACCTCACCAACAGTCTGTAATAAGTGCGACGGTATTCAAGGTGAGTACAAGTTCTCTGTGCTAGGAAAAGGCAGGGAATACAGACTCCCATGGTCCTGGAAACAGCATGTGCTGACTTTGGGCCTGTAACAGGGACGTTCTGCCCCACCTTACCCTGGCCTTCCCTCCTTTGTCTCCTACCAACTTCCAGGGCTTTAGGGCCTTAGCCTCACCGGGTTGTTTGTTTATGGCAATAACCCACAGCCAGGATCTATCTGGACGGAAAAGATCCAGGGACCTATCCATCAATTTTCTTGTTGAAATCATATCCTCCCCTCTTTCCCTTCTCTTTTCTCCTGAGTTGGGGTTTCTCTATTTGGTCCAGGCTGTCCTTACAGTCACTATGTAGCCTAGTCTAGCCTCAAACTTATGATCCAGAATGCTAGCACTTCAACCGATGCCACCATGCAGGGAACCATGGAGTTGACCTGATCTAGCTGCCTTGAGAGGCATGAGTCATGGTTTTTCATGTTGGAGTCCACTGCTCCTGGGGCACTGTGTGCCTTTCATTTCCTGAGAAACCAAGGTGCTCCCTCAGGCAGTAAAGCATTCATGCCACCTTATGATTCTCTATATTCCCTAGACGCCAACCAAGCATATAGAAACTCGAAAGGCTATTTGCCTTAGACACTATCTCATATATTCTGCATAGCTTGCAAACATCACTGTATCCTGGCAACTACCATGGCATTGCCCCTGCTAACAACCACTATATTATGTTTCTGACAAGGGTATTGAAGAAAGTCTGACTGCTTGCGCTAACCTTGTCTCAGCCTCAGTCTTGCCGTGGCCCCTCTGTCCTGTGTGTGGTCAAGATTCATTTCCCACTGGCTGTACCAGTTAACCTTGGCCTGGTAAGGAAGCCTCACAACTTCTATCCTACAACAGGCTGTATTCTTTTATGCTTCCATTAGCACTGTGAGTTTCCGAGTTCTCCATAGCCTCATCAGCACCAACAGCTGGCTTTTCATTGGATCTCTTACACAAAACAGTGTCTTTGATTCTGACTGGAGTATTTTTAAGGCACATCTTTTTTGGAGATTTTTTTTCAAACTGTTTACATTCTTTAGAAACTGAAGTATGTGCCTTTATGTTGTTGAGCTCTTTCTATACTCTGGGTACAAGGCCTTCGTCAGACATAGGATTTGAAAGCAATTTTTCCTGTGTACTGTTTTCACCATCTACATGTCATCATTTGAAACTCAAGTTTTTAATTGTTTGAAATCTCATCTGCCTATTTTTCTTTTGGTTCCCATACTCAGATATAAGAAACCACTTCCTACAGGTCACGATGGTTTTCTCTGCTTGTAATTACAAGTCTTGCATGTAAGTCTGGTCCATTTTCCTTTTTGAGACAGGGTCTCATTTGGCCCAGGCTGGCCTTGAATTTGGTCTACAGCCAAGGATGACTGAACTTTTGGTCCTCCTGCCTCCACCTACTGAGTGATGGTACTGCACATGCCAGATTTATTCGGTGCTGGGATCGAACCTAGGATTCTGTGCACTCTAGGCAAGAGCTCTTTCACCTGAGCTATACCTCCCATACTGATAGTCGACTGACATGTGTCTAGCTGTGAAACTCTGAGTTAAGCTACTTGGCATTAAGTGACCTATTTTAATGCTTTTCATAAAGTTATGGAGTATTTGTCATTTTATCAAATGCTGCCTTTCATTCTCTTCCTTTTTTTCTGGGCTCCACTGCTTGTATATTGCTACTATGAAAGGGGCTCTGTAGGGTTTTGAATTCTGATCTTTTATCTTCACCTGTTGTTTTCTCTTGCTCTGAGTAGACACTTCCAACTGACACATATTCAACTTCTGAGTATGTATTCTGTCACCACAAATCTGATGTTGAATTTAAGAAGTAAAATTTCATTCTAGTTGTCATATTTCTCAACTCCTAAATATCTAATTCTTCAAAAAACTTCTATTTATTGCTGTTCTTTCTTTGCCGAGACATTGTTTCCATTCATTTAGTCCTTACAAGTGGTTTGCTGTGGTTCTCTGAACACATTTATAGTAGTACGATCTAATGTGGAGTTTCCTTAGAGACAGTCTGTATTGACTGCTTTTACAAGGCTGAGCCATATTTCCCTGTTTTATATTCCGTGTGCCTTACAATTGCTACTAACAATTAGATAGAATGTGCTAATTCAGACACCATGCCACTCCCCTTACTGAATTCACTTATCTTGGTATTTGTTGCTGTATTGTCAAGTCCATTTCCATTCTGTGCA